AATCCCTTACTCAAACCATGCATTTAGGATGAAGTGGACGGCTGACTGTGAGCCAGGCTTCTTTCACCCAACATCAGTGTTGGGCCTACTATATTGCTCTGTGGGCCCATTAGAGGCCCACAGAGCAATAGCTCTGTTATTATATGATAATATCAATGCCGATGCTTTGTGCAAGACATGCATATGTGTTTATACTCCTGATTTTCTCTCCGTCTTTCTTTTTTTACAGCAAATTCAGAGCAATTTCATCATTGTCATTCACCCTGGTTCAAGGACACTCCGCATTGGGCGAGCTACGGACACTCTTCCCATTATACTTCCTCATGTGATCGCTCGCAGACACAAGCAAACTGGACAGCCCAAATATGAAGATGCCTGGCTGTTGAGAGATGGTCTAAATGTTAGTCACTCATGATCACATACACCCACGATTCAGTCTTTTAATCTGTATCTTACTCTGTTGTACTCATATTCAATTTCACATCTGTTAATGTACCATCATCGCTTCTACTTCCTGTGCGACAGAAAACAGAGAGTAATGAGCAGAGGCAGAATGGGCTTAAAATGGTCGAACAGGCCATCTGGTCCAAGAAGATGTCCAATGGAGTGCGGAGGACACCGGTGTCCGCTGAACAGGTGTGTGTTATAAAAGATAGAGAACTGTTACAGATACTGTATATAATAGTGCGATATTCAACAACAACAGGATACAACAACATAGTGCAGGTGTAAGTGATGTTTCTCCTATTTGGAAGAAATGTGAAGCACCTTTGGCTGCATGGCTTGCATGTAGAGTTTGAGAGTAAATAAAGCGGTCGATTTAAGGGAATCATTTTAAATGGGTTTGTAGGAGTTACTTATCCATATCAGTGTACAGTAGATTGAGCACACCCCAGTTTAGAGAAACAGACTGAAGTACCGTCACTAAAGCAATGTACTGCTGTGGACAGGGGAAGCAGCAAAACGTATGTGTCCTACCTAAATTATATCAGTTTAAGTGTACGCTACATTCTATATCTTCACCACTCTTAACTTGCAGTTAGACAACCTTTTCCGAAGCAAAACTGAAGCCGTTTTTACACTCTTGCCAAAGCTACCAGACTCCATTTAAGGAAAAAGTTGTTTTACTTCGCGGATGTTTCTAGCCTTTTTGGAATTTGTAGTCAGAATGAACAATTTTAGGTATAATGAATAATCCTTGCGTAGGTCTAGTGTCTAACGCTGATTAAATAATAATTGTTTTGTGTGTGTTAAGGCCAGGTCTTATAACTGTCAGATCCGTCCAGCAGTACTGGACAGCAGCTACAGGGTGAAGTGGACCAACACCGCCCACCAGCCTCCACATCTGGTGGGAGAGGAGGTGAGTGCATGTGACTGATCGCTCCTTTAAAACAAAACATTTACAACTTTATTTCCCTAAACGTCTTGTCTGTTTATGCCATTTTCTCCTTGTTTTCTCTGGCCATACCCCACCCTTCCATCATGTAGGCTGTTTATGTGAATCCTTCTGACTGTTACAACATCCACTGGCCTATAGTCAGAGGTCAGCTTAACGTTCACGCCGGTCCCGGAGGCTCACTGACCGCCGTCCTGGCTGACCTCGAGACGATCTGGAGTCACGTTATTCAGAAGCAACTGGAGATCCCCCTCAAAGACCTAAAGGTAGAACAAAGCTCCTCCCCACTTCATAATATCACCTGCTTCTGAGGAGCAAAGTTGATAGATGGTAGACAATAATGAAAATGTTAACAGACTATGCTGATAGTGGAATACGTTTATTTCTTACATGACTGGTTTCCAGTATTACAGATGCATCCTGCTGGTCCCCGACATCTACAACAGACCGCACATCAAAGAAGTTGTCAACATGCTGCTGCTTAATATGGGCTTCTCAGGTAATTCAAAGCAGGAAACAACAAAAACAAACATATTCACTGTTATATTCTGCCAAAGTCTATTCAGGGTAGTTCAGGAACTATTCAATATTCTCTCTTGACCTTACATTATCTCTGTCCTTTTATGTGTGTGTGTTCAATAGCGATCATCGTGCACCAGGAGTCTGTGAGTGCTACATTTGGCAGTGGGTGCAGCAGTGCTTGTGTGGTGGATGTTGGGGACCAGAAGACCAGTCTGTGCTGTGTCGAGGACGGAGTGTCCCACCGGAACTCCAGGTGGGACCATGAACCACTTTTATGTTTAATCTGTTAATTAGTTAATTCATCATCATTATATTATAGTTGCATCTCGATGCTCCCTTTTACACATAAGACCAATGAGTCCAAATCAGTTAAAATACACTGCACATTTTGAGAAACTTCCCACTGAGACATTACAGAGACTGTAATATTACCTGATGTGTTCTGTTTTCTTGACGTTGCAGGCTGTGTTTGGCATACGGCGGCTCAGATGTGACCCGTACGTTCTTCTGGCTCCTGCAGAGGGCGGGCTTTCCTTACAGAGACTGTCAGCTGTCCAGCAGACTGGACTGTCAGCTCCTGCAGCATCTCAAGGACACCTTCTGCCATCTGAACCAAGTGTGTGTTTGTCATCTGTGGGGGTTTCCGCGACTTTAAAAAGTTTCAGTTAGTCGTTCACACCTTTGTGTCTATTTTGGATCGCCATAGTCGTGCTCAAGAATGGAGAGAGAAATGCGCAGCTTTTCAGATACGGATAGAAATGTGTTTTTCCTTCTCTTTTTCTTAATAGGACATATCAGGACTTAAAGATCATGAATTCCAGACACGTTTCCCAGAAGCCCCAGCTCTTCTCTATCAGGTTCGACTAGGGGATGAGAAATTACAGGTACGCAGGTTGGATAATATGCGTTTCACATTAGCATTGGATCTTTTTTACTTTATTCTGTCTCTAGCAACTGAAATGTCTTTTTATCTATGGCTCTATTTGTGTGTTCCCTCCCCCCTCTTTGTGTGATTGGCTCATTTTGTGTATGCATGTTTCAGGCCTCCATGGGTCTTTTCTACCCGACCACATTTGGCATTGTAGGTCAGAAGATGACATCGCTTCAGTACCGTTCCCAAGGCGATTCTGAGGATCCTCATGATGAACACTACCTGCTGGCTACACAGAGCAAACAGGACCAGGTAACACACATAATTATTATATAATCATTTCCTGAGTTTGAGTCTCTGTGATTTTTCTTTTGTTATTTATAATTCTACCATTTTGTCCACCAGTCCTCCAAATCTGCTGCAGACCGAAAGGGTATTTCCAGGCCGGGTGGGGGTTTGGACGGGGAGATGAGCGCTCAGGGGGGGATTGGGGAGCCCTCTGACCTGGGCAGGGGCTGTGGGAGTGGCGGCAGCGGTGCAGGAGGGATGAAGGGGGAGACGGAGTTTGGGACTGCGCAGGGGGAGTGCCTGATGGGGGCAGGAGAGCTGGAAGAGCCCCCATCTGCTAACCTCTCGAGGAAGACTGCCATCATGAGCCAGTTTGAGAGCAAGGCCCTGGGACTGGATAAGGCCATCCTGCATAGCATCGACTGCTGTGGTAAGGATGGACAGAGGATTCAATAAAGTAAAAAAAATAAACAAGGGGAAAATAAAAGAAGTGGAAAGAGTGTTATGGTCAGTTATTAAGTGGATAAGCATTGACAAAGGAAGATTTTCTATTTTGCTTTCGAGAATAAAGTTGAAATGTTGCAAATAATGTCGAATCGGCAGTATAAGCGCAAAAAGAACATCTCCAAAGATTGACTTTAATCCCAAAATGTCAAGTTTGTTCTCAACATTTCATCTGAGTTTAAAAAAAATCTGTTTTCTCCAATTTTTCTCAAGCCTTTGACTAATAGTAACACTTTTGCATTTATTTTATTGTATTCTCCAAGTGCAGATTAACATCCCTCTTCTCATTCCCCCCTTATGCTTGGCCCTTGAGACTCTCCCATAAGAACATTGGATGTTTTATGTTGCTCAGGATGTCCCGTTGTGGCTCATCTTGTTTTTACTTTATTTTAAAAGCATCGGACGAAACCAAACGCAAGATGTACAGCTCCATCCTGGTGGTGGGAGGAGGGCTCATGTTTCCTGGCGCTCAGGAGTTTCTTCTTCACCGCATCATCAACAAGATGCCGCCCTCATTCAGAAGGCTGGTAGACAACGTGGAAGTTATAACGCGGCCAAAGGTAACCTGGAAATCTCACAAAGTCAGAATAAAATTATCAATTGCACGGGAGGGGACTTCATTTTTCATTCATCTCCATTTATGTCATACGTTGGGCGATAGTAAGATGTGTGCAGGAAGCAGCTCTTATAATGTACTATTTTGATGTGCACGTGCTCTAGGACATGGACCCTAGGCTGATATCGTGGAAGGGTGGAGCAGTGCTGGCGTGTCTTGACACCACCCAGGAGATGTGGATCCATCAGAGGGAGTGGCAGCGCTTTGGTGTGCGGATGCTTCGCGAGAGAGCTGCCTTTGTCTGGTGAAACCAACAGATTTGACTTGAATCTAACACACGGGAGACGTAGAGTGAGCAGCACACGTTAGCTGAGCAGCAGCCTCAGTGCTCAGTCTACATAGGGTGCTTTCAGGCTCAACCCAACATTGAGACTTGGCAGCTCAGAATAAGACAACAGTGTTGTGGAATTCACAATGACTACACTGCTAACATTATGTTGTTCAACAATCTTTTTTTTAATTGTGTTTTACATCTTTGGTTTCATCCTTCAGAAACACAGATGAGGTCGTTGTAACTTTTGAGTCTTGAATTGTGTTCTGTAAATAATACTGCAATGATTCTCTTTAGAGACGTTTGGAAGTATGTAAATAAACCCATTTCACTTCATTCACAATTGTTGCATGTGATTGGAAAAAACCTAATCCACCTTTCTTGGAGTATTGAACATATTGAATTGAAACGCAAGGTTGTTTGCATTACGTCCAACACTTTTAAAACATGGTAACCTGCTCTGCAACATTTCTTTCTATTCTTATTTTAGTCTTTAGTGTGAAAGTATTAGAACAAGACAAACTCGGTAGTAGCATGTTTAAACATCTGCACATCTTTATTCAGACAGAAGGATACAAAACAAAGACAGACTAATTTATGATACCCAGAAAGGAAGATCATAACAGACAAGTCAGTGACACATCTCTCAGTGTGAGAGGAATGTGAAGGGGGGAAACCAGAGAGGAAATAATGTGGATGGCTGCTGTATCGGCCATTCTGGCCCCTACATGTAGGTATTCCCAGAAAGGCGTCAAGAAACTGCTTTTGGCAGCGGCAGCCGGAGAGTAGGGGCTTCAGCACTGTGACATCACCATCGTCCTTTGAGGTTCTCAGCAAACAGACACTGTGCAAAGCCCCGCGCCTACACTGAATGTGTAGGCGTTTACCTAAAGAGAGAAGACGGGGTTTGGCGATTAAAGGCAACGGAGTAATGTTTCCTTCAACTACGTTTTTTAGGCAATTTGTTTGAATAAATCCTTAATGTCCCTTTTGTGAAACAGGCTCCAAAGATAGAAGGTAATGTTTAATTTTTTTTTAAAAATCCTCACCTTCCTCATCCTCCTCCTCCCATTGGTGGAGAGCTGGGTCCTGCACCGTGGTTTATTCTTCCCATTCGTTTTCTGCCACCAGGGGGACCTGGAGGACTGAAAACACAAGGAACAGAAAAGTGAGAACATTAGGAAATTAGGTAAGAGCAAGGTACTACAAATGTTTTTGTTTTTTTCATTTGCTTGCCTAAAATAGATATGAAACATTTATACAAGGGCAATATACATGCCAACACTCTCTTCTTGAAATACACAAGACTCTATGCTGCAATACATTCAACTGCTGCTGCTGCTGTAGTAATCAACAGTGCAAGAAGGTGTTTGAATCTGCAGCTCTCAGGTCAGGACTTCCTTTAGAGTTTAAAATACATGGGTTTTAAACATGGATCCAAAGACAGAAAAAACCAAAACATGGTTATACCTATACAAACAAATCTGAACTAGTTCCTGAATACTGGCAAGTACATGCTACCACAAAGACTGCACTGCCACCATCAGATTAGGGGGACTTCAATGCTCCAGGGACTTACCCTTTGCCATCACTGAAGCGTGACAAAACACCGCTTCCATCCTTTCTCACGTCAGGGTTTATCATCGACTTAAAACTGGTAGAAAACAAAGAAGATCAGAAAATACAAAAACGTTAGTATTTAAATCAGTTATTTGTTTCATGACAAGATACATGAAATAAACATGGCATAGTTAAGATGATGAATATGGTAAATATTATACCAGCTACACATCAGCATATAAATATTGTTATTGTGAGGATGCTAACAAGCCCCTAGGAGATAGCAGTGTGGCTGTAGACTAAGACTTGTAATTAGTTTACAGTTCAACCACTTTCCCCGTTGTAAAAATAACAACGGTAAGAAAAACTTAAAGAATAGAATAGGATAAAAATGACAAAACATTAGAATTGATTAATTTAAAAAGAGATTCAAAAAGATAATTTAATTTTCATTATTTACCAAATATTTTCAGAGCAATGGGCTCTGTTATGAAAGGCTGTGTCTACCCACATGTTTAATCTAGATCACAGTCTCTCCAAATCAAAACCTACAGGAGGAACTCAGACTTGGGGAACTAGTTTAACTTGCGGAAATAATGTAAGCTAAGCATCAACATGTGAAACCCATATTCCTCCAGCTAGTAGAGATATAGGTGGAGAATGAACAAAGTTGTAGTGAGGTTTGATTACATTTCATATATCATACATAATGGCACTCACAACAGGCCGATAAAATCCACTGCTCCCCAGAAGAAGTCGACCAGTAGGGACAGTCGCCATGGTGACTGTAACCTGCTGTCCAGCACCTGACCTGAGATACATAGAGAGGTGGATCAGACAAATACATTTGTGAGGATATTCACATTCAAAACAAAGAGTGTAATCAAGTTAATGGTTTACCCGGATGTACCCATTATCCTAGCATTCAATACAAACAGGCTACAAGCTAAATCAGAGCGACACCGTTCACAACATGATCCCGGGGCTGTAACATCGCCTTATTCCTACTGTAATACAACCCGAGATGATATGCTGACCAATGGAGGGAAACACTAATATATCGTTTTGTTTAAGACCCGCTTGATACATTGAGCAGTTATTCATGCTGCGCAGATCAAGCTAGGCTAGGCTTGCTAACGAGCTAGCTGTTAGTTAGCTTAATGTAGCCTAAAGCTCTGCTACAATTACACATTGTATATTCAAGTGGTTTGTTTACAGTGGAAATGGTTAACAAAGAAACACTGTAGACAAAAAAGCTAAATATTTACTCTGAAGATGAGAAAAAGGTTGAAGAGACAAGGCAAACCACTCACCGTTAGACACGTACACCATCTTTTAGAAAGTAACAACACAGCTTTATCAGCTGTGTTTACAACTGGCAGATGTACTTCCGGTTGCGTCATTCAGACGTTCACAAAAATAAATGATGTACAACATATTGGGGCTTTAAAATACGTTTTGCTAACATACCTATTCAAATAAAAACGAGGCATGTCCTTAAATGAAAAGAGACGAGACTTCTCAGTCAAAAATAATGCTGAATTGTTTTAACAATTTTCCTATGAGAAAGAAAAAACACAATAATCCATTTTAAAAAGAGGTTTGTACCTACTTCCCCGGAAAAATACAGGTATGCATTGATTTGGAGTCATTAGTTCACATGAAACTATTAAAACAATCCAAGAATTTTCAACAAAAAAAGTGGCTGAATTTTCAACTATTTATGAAAAATAGAAGGTGCACTCAAATTTCATTTTAGGCCACATAACATGGACGCTTTTAAAATATTACTGAAATGATCTTAGTTGAAAACATTTAGTAAAATCAATTCATGATTCATCAGTATTCAAAAAGGTTTTTTTTGCGTGATATTCACTATTAGGGACAAGTTAGCAAAGAGGTAAGTGAAACCATGTGGGTGAAGAGTGAGATTCCTCAGTCTGTGAAACTGAGGAAGAAGACGTAGCTGGATCCGGAGTGAACATCAGGTGAATATCCAGCCTTAAGCTATTCTATTATATAACGCACTAGCACTTGTATTGCTGGCATTCACTTACAGTGGGAGCTGCAAACACTGAAGCAAGAGTGAGAAGAGCTTTAACATCATCAAATGCTTTCTGCCAACTACCAGTTTTATATAATCTCTTTAACAAACAAACAGACATTTTTGATTCAGTGTAATGTTTAAATAAATAGTAAAAACATCACATGCTGTATGTTGTCCCACTATCACCCCTGCAGACAGTACAAGCAAGTGCTATATAGGTGAAATGTATTATTCAAAAGCAAAGGGTTAACAAGACCTTCAGTTATCACTCAATGCCTCAACAGTAAAGAGTAGTGCAGGTGCACAACATCTACATTTCAAAAAGTAGACCAAAGTGCCTGATCTGCACCACCCCGTAGTTTACTAAAGGGAAGTTCTGAAAGTCAGAGTTTGGGTTTGTTTTCAAACCCCTTTAAGATACCTTAGAAGAAACGTTATGGAGATACCATGCAGAACCTGAAATGTTGTAAATGTTTTTCAGAATATCTTACGATAGGTGCTGCTTTGTTTTTTAATCAGGTTTTCCTGATACATATAACCTCAAAAAGGCAAAAGCACCCAGCATAACACTATCAAATATGGTAAAACAGCAGATATCACCTAACATTAGAGTTGGTGTAAAGATCAGGAACCAATGCAAATGTGTTGCTTCATTATAAATAATACATCTAGTGTGCTGCATTGATCGATATAATATACTGTAAAGCATCTAAAGTATGTATATTTTAAACTATTAGGTAAAAGTCTACAGTTATGTTTTCTTGTAAACCAGTAAACATTTTTAATTGAAAGCTTGAGAAAAGCCTGAATATACGTAATTCATGCAGAAATAAATAATACATATAACACGCTTTAATAATCAGAGCCATCGCATGACACAGTTGGCAGATAAAGAGATGAAGGCATTCTGTGGTTTTCCATTAACATGACCAATGTGGATTAGAAATGCTGAAACGCAACAAGTTAGTCCTTTTAACTGTTCAGAGGTTCAAGTCCTGTGCTCTCTTCATCAGGTGTGTGTGTACTCTTCTTCACTGATTTGTGATGCAGGATCTATTCTCTTTTCAGATGTGTCTTTGTTGTAATCTTCGACACTAGCCCGGTGTTCAGATATTAAATTGTCTCCCACAGAGATTTGTGTGCCAAACTCTTTGTCACTTGTTTGTAGATCAGGTGTTGTGTTTTCTCCACCAGGTTTCTGTACGCCAGACTCTTTGTCAGGTTCAGTTTTATCAATGTTTTCATCTGACTCCAGTCCGTCAGTTTCGGTCTCTGTTTTCCGACTGGCTGCTCCTCGAAAAATACCAGCTTTGTGAAGCTCTCGCCGTATAGTTTTCACTGAGACAGTGTGAGATAGATGTCTGTTTAACTCTGAGGTTATCTTTGAGGCTGTATACTCAGGGTGCTCATCGACTATCCTCAGAAGTATCTGTCTATCCTTTTCGGTGAGCTTAGACTTGCGCCCACTGTTCTTCTTTGCGGATGCTGTTCGTCCATGTTTGATGTATACAGTCATGACCCTGGAGACTGTTCCTCTTGCCACATTAAACAGCTGAGCAGTTTTGGTGACAGATGCACCGGACAGGCGTGCAGCAACAATTTGGCATCTTTCAAACTCTGTAAGATCACTCATACTACTTTGAACACTGATATGTGTTGACAGTCTCTGTTGGAGCCTAGGCAGGCTGGCCCTGTAATTCCTACGTATGGCTCCAAAGTCCTCTGTTAAATGGGGTTTCCATTATTCAAGGGAGGAGAACACCCACCATTGTGTCTATAAATGCATGAAAAAGGGACAATTAGAAACGCCAGAAAGCAACATTTAAAAATATATCTGTGACACAACAACATTCATTTGCATAAGGTAGATGTTGAACTGTAACAGGAGAACCACCGTGTGACAGCTAACATTACAGAGACATTTAACTTTACAGAACAATAACCCAGCAGCAGATACACAAAGATAACGTCCACGAGCTCATTAGCCCTAATTAGTTGTTGTTGTTTTTTTTTTACAGTTTATTCGCTGGTTTATTTTCCGATGCTGTCATTTTAAGGCTAACGTTTGTCAGGTAATGCCTGCTCCATTAGCCTCCATCAACAACATACGTTTTCAGAACGCAGTGGTACCATTTGAATACAGAATGAAACAATTGGCATGGGGACAGTTTACGGTGTTTTACTTACAGATACAATTGTACAAAGTATGCAGCCTTCACACACCGCTACTTTATCATGGTTTGTGTCCACCGGGGAAAGAACAAGTACTTCCGGCCGGAGGTTTTCAGAATAATGGCCCATGGCAACAGTTGTTCCCATTATTTTACCATATGGCATACCATTTTTTTAATGAGTAGTTAAAAATATAATCTTTACTTAGTGGCACTAACTGTACTAAACATTTTCTAAATGTTTTGATGGTACAGGGGAAAGGTAGACAAACTATGTTTTTTTACATTATTTAATTTAATATTCTGTTCTTGTACATATCCCATATTCTATTGACATGTATACTTTTTGCACTACTTTTTATGTTGCATTTTTGAAGGAGCTCAGGTCAGAATAATTTCATTGCCATCTCTACACTGTAGCTTTGTGCATATGACAATAAAACCTTTGAATCTTTATGTACATTTTACATATATTTAAATATTATAACATAGGGCATCAACTATTTATTTTATTTATGATTAATACCCAATGGGGTACATATGAATAAAATAAAAAAGGTCAGTCCTCACATGTTTTTGATAGCCATGACCCAGACTAAAGGTTAAAGGTCAACATATCCCGACAGATATGCGAATGCACAACTTGTGGTCAGAACAATGATCCACCAAAGGAAAAAGACAGAAGACGGACCTGGTTGAGTACGCAAATGTATTTTCTCTTAATTAAATCATTACACAGTATAAATGCGGCTTTTCACTGTGTGACTTTGTGACATTGGTATAAAATGAATTCTTAAATAGTAATGTGAATATGGTCATTAATAGGTTTAGTTTTGATTAAATATAATCACATTTATTTGGTTTCATTGTATGTACACTTAGATCGTTGGCACTTCATTTATTTGCAAAAGAGAACAAATCTATCAACATTTAGTGATGTTGTCCAAATACCTTCTCCCCTCAACAATAATAATAATAATAATAATAATACATGGGACTTTTATAGCGCTTTTCATGAAACTCAAAGACGCAAAACAATGCGTTGGACAAAAACATTTGAATGCTGAACCCAAAAACAGACAGATGCCACTGGTTTCACAAAACTGAAGTTATTGATTCTTACAAAACTTAATCAAAAGAAATTGGGAAAACTAATATTTGTTCTATATGAGAGCCAGCAGAGGGCAGCAGAGACTGTATGATGAGGAAAATATGAAATAGTGAATGACTGGGCTGCCTTCTGTTTAACAATCTCACAGCGATAATATACTATTTCTCATTTTGATAAGGACCTTTCTGACCCCACGTCACGATGAGCCCTTTTTGTTCCCAGACGCCCCTTTGGTAAAGACTAATGATTTAAAAAGAAACATCCTAAAAAGTCGGAAGGCTGTGCTTCTTTGAAGCAGCTTGTCCCCTGCTTGGTGTTCCTCTATGCTGCTGCTTCTGATGGCCATGGCCTCAGAGTAAAGGTCAGAGGTCAAAAGTTCAGACTAAACAGGGCTGTGCTTCTGAAGGCTGACCCATGCTGAGAGGTCAAAGTTCACACAAAATAGCATCTAGAACAGTCATCCCAAATTGTGACATGAGCTGGTAAGGAGTCTATTAATTACGCGTATTTATCCTCATTTAAATGTGTATTTTTATGCATTTGTAAGGATTCAACTAGAACACATGGTGAGATGAAGTTGTGGTCTTCAGCTTGATAAATAACTTTAACTTCTCCCACTTCCATAATTGTTTTCTTCCAAGGTCAGCACTTATATGTCTCTCTGCAATCCTCTAACCCGTGAACAGATACATGAAGATGTAATGGATTGGTGCCAGTTGTCAGTTTAATGCAGACTAATGTTAGTAAAGCTCCACAGGGAAAAACTCTGCACTTTTTGTCTCTTTTTCCATTGCTCTCTTTCTATCTTTTGACTTGGGTCAAATATCTTTCATAGGTATCAATGCTTTGTGTCTGTGTGTGCCAAGTGTGCAAGAGTTGTCTACCTCAAGTTAAAGGAAAAATACGCCATACTTTTTACATCATGCAAAGTACAGTATTTATATTCTAAATTTGGATACCTCCTGAAAACCGGATCATTTACATTCACGTTATTAACGCTGACAGTAATTACGGCATCGCTATGGTTGACTCGGTAAATAAAATAAAGCATGTAATGCAGGTTTCATGTATTTCCAGACAAGAAAATCTAAGATACACAGTGTTGCGGTCTGACATACTGATTCTTGTACCATAAGCACACTAACAAGATTACACATTAAAGCCTGGCATACTCTCTAAACAACTGAAATGTGTTGAATCTCACATTAGATGCTCCTACATGTGCAGGGATGTGGCCTATTACTGGATAGACTGTTAAATAAATGTGCTTTGGTATGATGACATTTTCAAACCATTCTCTTGTATTAGTATGATAATCAAGTCAGGAAGTTAGGATGTTCAGAAAGGCTGTCATCAGATTGTTACAAGAATATATTTTTTATTACAGCCTGTTGTTTTCAACCTCTTTTGTGAGTTTTCAGTCATTACCGTGAATAGGAGATTTTACTGTTTGTGGTTTTGGTGTGTGTTTTTCTGATTAGGGTTTAACCTGAGCAAGTTAAGTAGAAAAGCAGAGACAGATTGTGAGAGTTTTACAGAGGTCAGAGAGTTATTATTTTTAAGTGGGTGGGGGGTCTCTATGCTTTAAAGCACAAATGCCCACAATTCAGTTTCTTTCAAACATCTCAATACACAGTCACATCACCAGCAGGAGACTTTCTCGATTTTACAGGACAAACATTAAGAAACATACAGCAGAGCAAACCATTTTTCTAGAGAAATTCGGGCTGAAAGGCTATTTAAACTACCTTTGTATATGAAACACAATTGTGATAAAATGTATATCATTGTTGGTGCTTTTTGAAGTTAGTGAATAGTGCTCTGGGTAGTGCAAGATAGTCATAGTGGTAAAATACATTTCCAGTACAAAGTTACAACTGTGGTTTACAAGTTACTCTGTGGGTGCATTTCGGCAGTTGATCCACTTGTTCTGAAACCGTTGCATTCATTTACATTTCTCAAAATGAGTCACTCAGTTGTGTTAAAGGGCCCATGTCATGGCCATTTCTACTGATCATAATTCCATTGTTGAGGTCTACTAAAATAGATTTATACTGTGCAATTTTCCAAACTCACATTGGTTTCTCATACAGCATCTCTGTAAAGTATATGTATTCACCGCTCTCTGTCCTAAACGGCTTGTTGGAGCTCCTGCCCCCCCTCCCTGTGAGCCCAGTGTCAGTGTGCTCTGATTGGTCGGGAAGTTGCGAGGCTCGTTGCGAGGCTCGTTGCTACGATCTGCTGACGATTTCAAAGAATTTGATAGCACTCTGAAATCGCTGTGTACTCTGAAATGTACACACTCATACATTCACATTTTACATACAGGTGTGCATGCAAACACTATGAATTGCAGGTCACACACACACACACACACACACACACACACACACACACACACACACACACACACACACACACACACACACACACACACACACACACACACACACACACACACACACACACACACACACACACACACACACACACACACACACACACACACACACACACACACACACACACACACACACACACACACACACACACAGTCCCCATTTGCTATTGTTCCTCCACTTAGACTGTGTTTTCACAAGGCTTTAATGGGTGAGTCCATTAGTGTTGAATACTTTTCACACCCCTTGGCCTAAAGTTGGAAGGTCCTCTCAAAATAAGGAGATCTCTCAACACGGTCACCCCTTTACATGATGGAATATATGGAAACAAGTTCAAACATTTGGAGTCCCATCCGAAACAAGACAAGCAACTTCGCTTCAAAGTTTTAAGAAAAGCTAAAACTGAATTTAACCTTTTTTAAAACGAAAGTATTATATTCTAGTATTTCATATATATTTGCTATATCTCATACTATTTACATATATGTAATTGTTCTTTTATTTGTATACAATACCTATGTTAATGATTCTGCCTCATGGTGGCCATGGTGCTTTACAAACAAATATTTGAAATTAATTGGTTTTAATTTTGATTTATTATAATTTAGACTTTTAATATAATCCTATCTAATCTTATTTTACTTTTACAGCTTCTCTCTCCTGGTCTGCGTTTTACATCATATTTTTTTAAACAGGCAAATACAAGTCACGTTTAAGAGTATGGGATGTTAAAATATACTTCTTTATAGGAGAATAAGGGAAAATGGGTTGTTGACAGTGTATGAGTCTGTGCACACACGGACATTAACACATTAGCTACTAATAAGATAATCATGTGTCCTCACATAGGAAACACACACCAACACATAAAGTATATGTGTGTGGGCATGGCTAGGTTTTGGCTTTAAAGTGAGATTATTTGTCTAGTCTAATAGAGAAGGGAATGGAAAAATAAGCAACAAGGAGAACATGATGAGGAGCAGAGAGGAATGTTAGCAGACTGTTGGGTTTTCTTTCTTTCTTTCATTAAACTCTTTCCCCTCCCTAGTTCATTAGTCAGTTTATTGAACATGTCAGAAACAAAAACATACAACAATAATATATATATTCTCTTTTTTCCCCTTTTTTTTCTCACTCTAATTAATAATTATAACAAAGTACAAATAATTAAAAAAAAACAATAATAATAATTCTCAAATAGTCTGTTCAACAGGGGCAAGAAGAAGCTTAAACAAACTTTTCTGGTCCTACCCCCTCTAGCATATATTTGTCTTATAAATAAAACATTAGGTCATCGTCATCAGCGACATGTTTGTCTTGTTAATTTGTTTGCTTTTTTACAAAACAATCAGAAATAAATTACCTTTACAATTACAAGAAATAACAACAAATGGGATTTTACAGGTCCTGTTCATAACCATTAATGATTTGGCTCCTAAATAATTCAGGGTCAATATCCTTTTCAATGTCTTGTGATTTATGTTCCGTGTATTTGAAACATTTCAAGTCCAGTTTTTCATATTCAGCAGGTGAGTGGTTTTTGTCCAAGCTTATCATGGGTGTTCTTAGTGT